GCAGGAAATATATTTGTAGTTCAAGTTGATGTTAAAATGCAAAACATAAACTGCTCTGGCATCATCAGCTCAGGTTTTGCAACCTTATAATAGAACAGAAATACAGTTGAGTCAGTTGTTCTTCAGAAAATCACCACCCTGCAGTTGAGATGCAGTAACTTGATGGTATAATTATTTCACTTTTCTGATTTGGAGAACAGACGTTACGAGGAGCGATTGAGGGAGCTGGGACTGTTCAGTTTGATAAAGAGGAGGCTGAGCGGGGATCTCATCATGCTCTACAATTACTTGGAAGGACATTGTAGAGAGGTTGGTGCTGGTCTCTTCTCACAGGCAATTAGGGCCAGAATTAGGGACAGAACCAGGGGGAATGGTGTCAAGTTGCAACAGGGCAAGTTTAGGCTGGATATTAGGAAGAAATTCTTCATGGAAAGAATGGTCAGACACTGGAACAGACTGCCTAGGTGGGTGGTTGAGTCGCCATCCCTGGATGTGTTTAAGTGTCGCTTAGATGTGGTGTTGAGTGATATGGTTTAGGGGTGAACTTGCAGTGTAGGCTTAATGGTTGGACTCGATGATCCCAAGGGTCTTTTCCAACCTGAATTGTTCTATGATTCTGTGCAGAGCATTATCTCTCCAAGACTTGGTAAAAGGAGTGACAATGATTTACTTTATGCTAAAACCGATCAAGAACTGTCAGTCATTGCATCCCAGCCACAGGGCAGTAGTGAATAGACTTTGCGTGGCAACTTTGTTTAGACCAAGCTGTTTGTGAAGCTGCTTCACCAGCAAACATCTGCCTGTGGTTGCAGTTTCTCTTACCAGCCTAAATAATTACCCCTGCAACTGGGAAAGATAGCAAAGTCAGTGTCACAAAACCCTTTAAAAACTAGAAGTGAACTTCTGCCAGCACTCCAGCCACATCCCATTGTGGTCTGTTCGGGCCAGATGCCACAGACGATTATTTGTATAGCAAAGGTTTTCTGAGGCTTCAAGGAAGCCTAGGAAAAAGTCACTTGAGCCAGCCTCTCCCATGGAAATTTGAAAGACAACAAGTTCTATTCATTGTGCAGATACTTCTGCACTGCCACAGCAAATCAGGAAATAAACTCAGGAACATAACAGGAATAGTTTGGGTGGTTTTTTTCCTTATTTTATGAAGAAACACAGGAACTTTTTTTTCCTTTGCCACTTGCTATTTTCTTGCATGTCAGACCAGCAGTGCCCTCATCCAAAACAGGGCCCTTCAGGCTCATCGTCCTCTGCATCACTTACCCAGTACCCCAGAGGCTGAGGACTCAGCACAGACAGTGCTGCCACAGCTCTGCTGGCTCCAGCACGGTTCCACTCAAGACCTCAGTACAGGTCACAGGCTGGGGAGCTGGCAGGGTGCAGCTGTCCCCAGAGGTATTTGGGAATTTGCTGATGAGTTTTCTAACAAGAAGATGCCAAATCATTGAAACTATTCCTGGAAGTAATCATACTCACATTTGTAAAGAAACCTCACAGTCAAGTTTAAGATTCCAAACCATTTGTTTGACACTCTGCCTATTGGGGGGAAAAAAAAAAAAAAGGTGTAGCTTCAGACTGCATGAGACAATCTCGATCTGGCCTTCTTCAACCAATCTTACCTGGTTCTGCATTTCTCTAACTATCAACTGTGGAAATTCAAGAGTTAAAGCTCTCAGCTTGACTGACTACAGGAAAAAAACATTCCAAAGAGGAATGTTTTGTAGAATGTGTACAAAAACTACAGACACCAAAACACTGTCCCTGCCCAGCTCTTGCCAACGTGCAGCATTGCTCTGGCTCCCAGCCTACAGAGCTGCTATCTTAACTGCTTTTTCTACCCTACTCTAGATGGGAAGACTGCATGTACAAGGCTGGAGTCATCATGGATAATGAAATTACTTTTATGAGTGTCACAGCTTTGGAAAAGACCTAACAGTCCTTCTGTTTGCTTTCACTAAGGGCAAGATTTTATGAAGGCTCTGACCTAGTGGCAGACTCTGGTGTAACTATAGACACCACGATGCGTGGAGGACGGCTCGGAGTTTTCTGCTTCTCTCAGGAAAACATTATCTGGTCCAATCTGAAGTACCGCTGCAATGGTAACGTTGCTCTTGAGTCATTTGAGCTAACAGCTAGCAAGTGACCAGGAAGAATCGGTAGCCTGGCTGTTGGATTAAGCAGTTTTGCATCCTTTCCTTTGCTTTTCATTTACAAGTCACTCACAGCTGTGAAATGCCTCCCTTGACACCAGCAGCATGCCGCAGCCTAGCCAGATGGGAGCTCACACCTCACAGCTGCTTTTCCCAGAGCAGTCACTCTGCTGCAGAGATTGTGCCAACTAAGCAGTATAGCTGTCATCAGAGAATTAGAAAAGTTATTTAAAACCAACTGGGAGAGTTGTACGTGCACAATATACTGGGGCTGTCATGTACACAGGATGTCTTGAGCTCTGAACACAAGGTGAAAAGTATCTGGAGCGTTAGTGGGATCAGTTACCGGGCGAGTGTTGTGTGTGCACTTTGTGGTTGCTCCTGTCTTTGGGAGGACAAGATTGTAAGATGCCCTTCCTCTTCAGACTCTGTGGGAGTGTGCTGGCTCACTCTGCTTGAGGCAAGAGCCTTGGAGCTTAGCTGTGATCTCCCACTATACAGAGTAACTCAAACCTTGGTCAGTCGCACAGAAGCTGATCGTGTGGGGTGTTTCTGCCCTGGCAGCAGTTCAGCCAGCTTGAAGTGTCTGAACTCCCCCTCCTCCAACTTCTCAGCATCAGCCTCTACCTGACCATTTAGGAAAATAAGTTACCAGCCGAGTTAGAATAGTTTCCTTGTCTGCTTCCTGTGGACCCAAGAAGTCCATCCCAGCTCTGCACGGCCAGATGCTGACTCTGTGGCTTGTTCCAGCGAGGGACCCTGGTCTCGGGGCACTGGTACACCTAGGCTGGCACTTGGGGGCCACAGTTAAACAGGGGAGCTTCTCATCCTTGGTGCTTACAATTAAAAATTACTTGGTAAGAGTCTCAAACAGTATGTGTTTTCCCAGAAAGCATGCTCCAAAGCTGACACTGGACACTTTCCTGGCAGTGAGCAGGCAGTGGCTTTGCTGCAGGCATTGCAGTAAGTCAATGAAACCAGCTCAAAGGAAGTCTCTGGAGTCCCAAAGTATCCCTGCTTTCATTCCAGACCAGTTCCTACATTTGCAGAAAAAGCTTAAAAGTAATTTTGAAGCCTAAAAAAAAAGCGATCCAGAAAAAGCACTTACCCCCTTTTTTGTATATAGTATGTGTATTTATATAGCTCCTTTTTTGAGTTTAGTGTTATCTGTCCTAGATCAGGGTGGAAATAATTAGAATAAATTTGAGGCCACGCAGTTGAGCTTCACTGCTGTCACTCCATGTTTGGCTGCAGCTTCAGCTCTACAGTTAATTCTGGGCTCTGGCAAAGGCACACTGCACCATTTCAACACTTTAAACAGAATTGTAGTTACTCTTACGACATTGGCCCATCTTCAGGTCTCTTTACCAATTCTAAAGTTTTTCTACCAGTTGCTACTGATCCTTGGGTTGCTTCTGTCCCTTCTTGTGGTGTGGGAAACCATCACAGGGAAGCGTAATTAGGATTCATGAGAAATAGAGACGCTGACACTACAAAAATGTCTGGGGTGCAGAGCAAGACAATCTACTTTTTGTACCTTGCTGGTCGGCATTTACTAATGGAAAGCGGAGGCTCCAGTTTTTGGGTGGAAATGTAATTTTAAGACTGCTAGTACTACTGCTGGCACTGTAGCACTCACTGTCTTGTTGGCCTCTCTATGCTTTTCAGTGTTGTACTAAACTTTTGCATATTTTCCTTTTTCAGACACCATCCCAGAGGACTTCCAAGAATTTCAAGCTCAGCAATTTGGTGTTGGGGATATTTAACACGGAAAAGCACACTAACATTGCTATTGCAAACAATAAAACAATATATTTTAAATCCTTATATGACTGTTGTTGTAAAAGTGCACACCGCAGCTTGTTCTCATTGATGTGACTATGTCAGACTTTTTTTTTGTATAAAAGTGAAAATAAAAACGAGACAAAATACACTGGGGCTTCACTTTTTTTTCAAATTTGCCCTAAAATCTAGGGAGCAGCATGTAGTGGAGTGGCTTACTTAAAGCATTTTCAGGAGAAGTATGAATCTATTGCCATTTTAAACAGGGTGGGGAAGAAAGTGCAATTTTCTTCTATCTGGGATGTGTCGGAAACAGGCTGCATGTGTGGGCATTAAGTGGTTGGGAGCTGTCTGGTCAAGCCAGGGGCTTCTTAGTACCTTTTCAGTCCTGCCAGGAAAAAGTTTTACCTCTTTTAGATCAGTTTAACTCCTTTGGAGACTTTAGTTACTTTTGGCAGACCTCCCTTAAGAACTCCATTACACCTCCCTACCCATCCACTCCCAGAAAACTATGAGTAAGACAATCACATCCTGTAAAAGCCAAAAAGCTGACTGCAGGGTGTTGTAGTCACCTCTTATGACTTGCATGGAGATAAATGCAGAACCACCTATATAGAGAAAATAATCCTAACTTTCACATATAGAAACACAGGCTTTGACCTGGCTCTTGATCAGGTACTGCAATCTTACAAAAGTAAGTAACTAAGTTAAAAATCCAAAACACTGCATTAAGTGTTAGTAGCCATTAGGAAAGAACTGAAAAACCAAAAACAAGAAAAAAAGCACTTTATAATTCAAGGTGTAGAAAAGTGTTAGATACCATGTGCATTTCTACTGGGTTGGTTTTTTTTTTCAAAATAGAGCTAGGAGGACAAGCTCCAAATACAGCTGAAGTGAAGGCTATTACAGCCTATAGAATAATTACTTAAAAAAGGACAATGGGAAACAGTACTTCAGCTAGAGGGGAGGAGGAGGGAGGAAATACACAGAAGGGGAATACATTGAGGCTTTTAAAAATTAGAAGTAGCCCTGACAAAACAAACAGCTCTTTCACAAAAATACAGGGGAAATGCATTGCCAGGGCTTCTGGGAGCACTGCAGCCCTGCAATGTGTCTCACAGGGGATTCCAGAGCCCCACCACAAAGACCATGGCACAGGAGAGTTCCTCTGGCACACTGCTTCATTGTGAAAGGTACTCCAGTTTCAAGTCGTTCTTTCCACTTGTCTTCACTAAACACAAGCTCAATCACCAGGTTTTCAACAGAGGATTGAAAGGCAACTATGGAGCAACACAGAGAGTTATCATTAAATTATGCTTAAAAGATGAGAAAAAAAAAAAAACCATCTTTTTCCAGCTGAACTTAGGTTGTAACTGCAGTATCATTTATGAATGAAAACACAGGCAGCAAAGCAAACTTACCTCCTTATCATGCATTTGCATTTCCCTGGATGGAGGCCCTTCTCAAGGCAGAAACCCTCTTTGAAGGGTTTGGGTGCAATGCAGGCAGTCACTTGTACTGTGCTCATACACAACATGGACACACCCCAGCCGGGGGCTGCAGTACCGACATTTTGCACCATCTCCTTACAGTGGATGCAACAGCCCTGGCCCACACTGACCTGCCTGCAGCATGCGCTGCTCAGAGCATGACAGCACACATCAGCTCCATCAGAAAACACGGGCACAGCTGGCCTCTGAACCCCTGCCAGCTTCCCAACCTCCACGCAACCCTCTTGCCTGCGGACAAAGGCTCTTGTCAGGCTACAGAGGCTGCGAAGAGTGCCCTGGCCATTGGCCACACCAGTTTGCTACTTTTGAGTTTGCCCATTTCCAGGCTCTCTTCCAGCCATGTCCCAGCCGTCAGCCACTGGAGGGTGAAGATGAGACAGGTACTGGTTCTGGCTCTGGTGCTGTAAAAGCTAATTGCCTGAAGCTGTGAGCTTCTAACCCACCCCAACAGAAAACACGCTGGCTTGCTCAGCTGGTAGTCACAGAAACGAGTTACAGCTTAAAGAGTGAGAACTTTTGTTTCAGGTGTTGTTGGAACCTTACAATGGGACCCTGGAGCTCGCTATGTGTGTTATGTTGACATACCAACTGCTGGGTAGCCTGAAAGTTCAGGAACAGCAAAGTCCAACCACTGCAGACAAAGATTTTCCCCCAGGCCAAAGTCTGGGCTTGGGCAACCTCCTGCCCCTTGCATTCCCATCAGAGAATGTGCAGTCCCTGTGTGTAAGTGTTCAAACAAGCTCCTCTCACACCAGCACCTCTTTCTGGACTATTGTACAAAGCAGACATAGCTGCATGTGTGGCCTTTGGCAAGCAAAGGCACTGCAACCCCACAACTTTAAAACAGAACCTGTAGTTCTCTCTGGCCCCCAACACCTTCCCAGCTAGGGTGCACCCAGCTGGAGCAGCAGTTGCAACTGCTTTGGAGTTCAGAATCCTGGGTCCAACCTCTCACCAAATGTTAACCCCTTCCTACAAACACCAGGACACTACCTCTGGGTTTGAAACACCAAAAGAGCACATCCTGCCAGGATGCCACAGGGCAGGGTGAAGGCAGGGGCAGGCAGACTAGTGGGAGGAGGATGCTGAGCAGAGGCAGTCAGCACTCACCGACCCTCAGCACCACTCAGGAACCACCCTCCACCTCGTACCTCAGTCAAAGCACATACCCTCAGCTACACCCACCAGAACCTTCTCGTGCACCGGAGCTGTACAGAGAAGAGCACCTGCCAGTCGATCCTTTGGAACTTGGAAAGGGGTTCCTTGTAACCACAAGAAACCTGCATCCAGGTGGGGATTTGGTTAGCTCTACAGCATGGGTGCAGCCAGTGGCAGCCGGCAGGCTCCGGCCGGGAGCAGCCGGCAGGCTGCAGCCGGCACACGCTGGGATGGGACTCCACAAACAGCCTGAACTTGGATGGCGAGAAGCAAGGGACCAGGAACCATGAAGCCGCAGCCCTTTCTCTCTGGGATCTAGCTGCTGTCCACCCCACGATCTGGGCAAATGAGGAGGAAAATAACCATAAAAATAATTGGAGATCCTTGTTTGAAACAACTGCAGAGGCTTAAGCGCTATACTGGGCCTGGAAAATATTTTGTTTGCGCTGTCAGAGGTATCCGACACATCTCAGAGAGCTGGCTTGCACAGAACAGATGCCACAGACAAATCTGTGCAACCTGACATCTTCCAAGATGATGCTGTGGAGCAATACAAAAATAACATGAATACAAAAATAACAATACAAAATACAAATAAGACAAAATAACAATACAAAAATACAAAAATACAAATAATACAAAATAACAATACAAAAATAACAGTGAAGCCATGTAATATTCCATAGGCCATAGGTTTTTCATAGTTTTTTTCCATAGTATTTTTTTTTGTTAAACTACACCCAAATGTAGCCAATGATCAACCAATTTACTTCTACTGGTTCTGTAAATGTTTAGCTCATATATTTATATATTTTCAAAGTTTCTTCTAGAATGAGGTTTTTCAACTTTTATATATCACAACAATTCACTTCAAATGTAAGAAAAACTTTATTGGTCCATTAAACATTAAATCTATAACAATACATTCACTCAGTATACAAAAGGAAGTGTTCATAAAAACCATTAACATGCTTTAAAAAGGCAAAGCTGTTGACTATTTTACAGTTAAGATCTTACAATTCCAAAACCTTTACCAAACTTTAAAGGTCAAAGTGTTACAGTTACTACAGATCACAACACTTGCAAAAAATGTTAAATAAACTAGCAAATCCTCCACTTCACTGGGCTACAGCTTAATAAAATAAAACCACAAAAACACCAAAAAGTTCCCTTGAGATATCAAGAATCTTGAAAAAGACTAAGTAAAATCCCCTTACCACTAAGATAAAGTGTTTATATTTTGACTACTTTGCATCCAGTTTTTGAACATGGCATACAGGAGACTGAATATCACCCATTGGTGGTAAGGAAAAAGCAAACAGTGAACCCATATGTTCCTGCCAACTATCTTCTCAGCTTATATATGACAAGCTGAACAATTTTCTCTGGGAAGTTATTCTCCTCAAGTTTGCATGAATGTCCAATAACACCTAAGCACCTGGACATGTATCAGTAAGAGGAAAAATAAAGCTATGGTGCAGGTAACAAGACATTACTTCCCCATAGCTTTCCAAAACTCTTCTTGGCTTCGCACTGAGGCTTCTTTGGCAAAAGTGCAGCTGCAGTGCTGCACCCCGCAGCAGCTCTGGAGAGCCAAAGCCCTGGAAGCTTTAAGCTGCTGGAGCAGTTTCAAAGCTGACAGCTGTGGCTCTGAAGAAGTTTGTGCAAGTGGCTGTATGCTACGGCACTGGGAGCTGGTGGCAACTAGCAAACAGGGGGAAACCAACATGGCTTCTATCTGAAATAAATTCCAGCTTTTAAAAAGTAACATTACTGAACAGGTGTGGACTAAATCGAAACCGGCTTTGAGGAATAAAAAAAAAAAAATCAGCAAAAAACCCAAAGTGGATTTAAGGCCAACTTGAAACCTACAGAGTTTCTTCAGCATTAGAAAGCAGCTGTCATGCGACTGTCCCTAAATTTCTACTTCACACCCGGCACAGCGTGTCTGCTTCTCTGTTCTGGGCCACTCAGGCATTCTGCCATCAGGATGTTGCAAACACAGAGACATACCAGTTCCCAAGCTACACAACCTGTTACAAGCACAAAAAGCCAAAGCTTTCTAAGCACTTGACCCCTGGCACTCCTTGTACAGCCATGCAAAACAGTTCAAACTACTGTTTACAAAGTTGAAAACACAAACTAAAATGTCATGGTGCCCATTATGTGTTTCCTTCCCACAAGAACTTGTAGGCCACTTCATAAAACAAAGCAGCAGTTTTCACAGAAGAAAACTGATCCATGTAATAAACCATGATCCTTGACTGTGTGTGAACACTGCAGGTTGTCCTGCTATAAAAAAGAAAGGATCAACAAGACTTGGCAAAGAAATCTTTGCTAGTTTCTAGCACCAAAGATATGCCCCCTCAACAGGATGCAGAATGTGAGAGAAGCAGGTTTATAATGCCTTTAAAAAACAAATCCAAGGAGAAAGAGGCAAATAAAATGAGGAGATACAGCTTGCTTCTAAAGCCCAGAAGGAAAGATGAGAGCAAAATTCTAGCTGCAGATAACCTCGTTCATCTAGCCACACCAGTACAGTCTCGTGGTATTTTGTTTCATCAACTTATTTAGGAGAAAAGCCTAACAGCTTATAGTATAAAATCTTTAGAGCATGTTTGAAAAACAATGAGTGGATTATGTTGTTACCAATCTGTTGTGGTGCCCACAACACTGTGAAATGCTGGCCAAAATTCAAGCAGCACAATGTCGACTTCTCAAATTTTCCTGACACATCTGTCAAAACCAGTAAACTGTTTAAAAAAACCCCAGCTTTATCACAAGTGCAGTGGTTGCTTTAATAATGGCAGCGTTCTAGCCCAGAAATGGCTGCACCAGTGGCTGATGAAGCAGTTATACATGCAAAACTTAAAACCTCAAAGCGCTTCTAGATTTGTAAAAAGGTGCTTAAACACAAAATAAATAAATAAATAGACATGCAGTCTATGCGAGGGGATAAGCCCTCTCTCTGGACTACGCACACATTAGCAACACTGAATTACCCGTTTCAGATGAAAGTGGCCCAACCCAGCCAGGATTTTCCTCATTGGCTGGGCAATTACGAGCTTTTTGAACCTTGTGGAAATGCTTGAAGTACAAAGCTAAGCGTACTGCAAACATGTAGTAACTCTGACGTGTGACCACAGTGGAGTTCTTTACGTGGCATTCACCTGCGAGGGCTGCCTGCACGCTTTGAGGAACCAGGTGGTAAACAGCACACCAGCATATCCATCTGCTTTCCATATGTCCTTAATGAGGTTTTACAGTCTCTTTTCTTAGTCCAGGTATGTGGATTCAGAGACTTGCTCTCCAAATCTGTCCCACTAATTTTACCCCAAATAAGAGCCAGTCACGATTGTGGCTCTCAGTTGCCCTCATGAGAAAATTAAAATTGCTCCAGTCTCAGACAGCAGTGCAGCAGTGAGGTTCCAAACAACATTCTTTTATGACAGCAAATTTTAAAAAGTAGGAAAATGCTAATAAAATTGTTTCACCTTCACAGCAGAACTAACTTCTGTCAACAAGCTGTTCCTCCAGCATTAGTTCAAATTCAAGTTTAAGTAGAGGAAACTTGTTACAGATGTTGCCTAGTTTTGCTGTCTTTGTAACAACAGCTTCCTCACTTCATTCAGCCCCAAAATCGAGGAGCCGGAAATGCTGCACTGCTCCCTTATATTTGGGAACAAATTCAACGAACAATTGTGGCAGGAGGCAGAATAGATGCTCCAGCAGAGCAGCTACCTGAATTTTCAGGTATGAAGAGAGAAAGTTAACTCCTTGCCATTTAAATGCAAATGTAAGCAACAACTACGCAATTATTACATGAGTAACAGGCTTTTAGTCAGTTTTCCCAGTTCATCTTCCACTGCACAGTAATTATCAGAATCAGTTTCATCCCCAGAGGTTTGTCAAGCACAGATTATTTGGTCTTCCAAATGCACCACAGGTCTGACTGTGCCTTGTACACGCCAATGCAATGTACAAGGCAGCATCACCCAGTCACAGGCTCAGTTCAGGTTTTCTAGTTCCAGTGCCACCTGAATTGTTATCACAGCAGTAGGTACAAAGGCACTTCTTAAGAAGGATTTTAGAAGCCCATTTGTGTGAACTATTTGGAATCTATGAACTGGGCATTTGAATCCTCGACCTTAGCTGAGGATTTTATTACGTAGTTGCACATGGAAGTTCACAGTACAGATTTTACAGCGAATGCTAAGGCTGTGACGTTTGCCTGGCCAGCAGGAAGCCGTGCCTCACTGAGGAACTAGAGGCTTTGCACCCAGGTGCCACTTGTTACTGACTCCTTAAGAAAGGCCTGGAGACCCATAGCTGGATCTGGGGCCACAGTGCGGATAAATAGGTCCCCAAAGTTATTTTTGGAGTCTTTTCCCACAATGTTTGCTTGAAAGCAGACAAAGTAGTATAGTTAGGCACTGTCTCATTCCCACCCTACATACGCCCGCAGATTTAGATGCTTAAGGTCAATAGTTGGTGGAAGGATGAAGGAGCAACTCAGAGAGGTGAGCACTGTGTAAGAACCGACTCAGCCTCATTTTGGACTTTGCTCTTACAACCCTGCTTCCTCCAAGCAAAGCCTATTTCCTTAAATACAAACCATTTAAAAAAAAAGAGCACAAGGAGATGCAGGAAGTCCTTACGCAGGCAGGTACTGCCTACATGAAGTAAGTGTTTTTGTAAACAATAACCACATCCATTGGCCAAGATATGTATTAAGATCATCTGTATTTGTAACTGGGATGCCTGCTATCAGAATCAAAGAACAGTTACCATTCCCTGCCTTATAACTCGACATAGTGCATGCTGCCTTCTTTAGAGGTCCTTGCCCAGATTGTTCTGTTATAAAAAAACATTGCTAATTTAAAAAAAAAAGCATGGTTGGTTTCTCACAGTGCAACACATATGGCCCTAGAAGGCAACTTCTGTGAGCCTCTATACTTCAGGGAACAGCATCTGCCAAGGGAGGAGCAGGAGCCCAGGCTATCTCAGCTGCAGCTCACAGCTTCAGCACTGGATCAAGACTGTCAGAAGAGCTGCTATGAATTAGGTGGGACAACTGGGAGTCATCACTGCACAGCCTATAAGCTGTTATCTTAGAGATGGGACAGATAAGGGCTTCTAGATTGCAAAGGTATTAATAAAGGCATGGCTAGATCTGCATGGCTAGACTCCAGGTGCAGGCATCATGGGCCTCTATGCTAGCAGAGCTCTTGGCGAAATCAGAACCTCACAGCAGAAGCAAAAGGAAAAAAAACCTGCCTCCCTCTCCAGAGCTATTTGTTGCTTTTCTAACTTCATTTCAGAGCTAAGCTTCAACTGCATTTTCTTCCCTAGGTGCAAACAAGGAGAAGAGCAGCAGGAGAGTCACCTTGGGACAGCCTCCTCCTTCTCTCAAACCTCACCACAGATGTATTCCGAGGCTCCTGATCACTGGGGTGGGTGGTGTAGGTATACAGGGCTGCAGAATTGTAGATTTGATTTGAGATATAGTGCAAAAGATCCCATCCCTAGCAAGCTCCAAGCAGGACAGAAGCCCTAGGATACAGTAGCAACAAAGCAGCCAAAAATGGTAGTGAAAACAAGACCAGAACTAAGATCTGTTACCTTAGGGTTACTCACCAGATGTGCATTAGCCATCAATTACTGCAACAGAACAAATAGGGCATGCAAATATTTTGGCCCTCATATTGGCCTCTATGTTGTGCTTTTCTTTGTTTTGCAGTAAGTACTAGGTGAAGATTTAAGGCTCAATCATACTTCAGAAAAAGAACTGCTTATATCCTGCATATTTCACATTATGTGTGTATAGAGAGAAGACAAAACCTTTGCAACTAGCATAAGTCATAAATTCATCTCATCAGAATGTAGATTACTATAGCAGGTTCAACCTTATTCAGCATTTAGGGCATCAGAGTTGTTGTTCCACCACCAAATCATCTGCTTAAAGCAAATAAAACTGACATGGTAGGGTTTAATATCAACAAGACAGTCATTTGTCCTAAGGCAGCTGCTGTTATATTTGTGTCTACTGGTTCTGTCCTTCTCACTGCTTACTCCACAGTTTGGGATAGGAGTTCTCCAAAAGAAGTTCAGTCTCCATTAATGGATTGGTTGGCTAAGTCCCATCCCAACAGCAAAACTAACATCAACAGAGGAGTATAAAAATACAGCAGTTAGAAAGGACACTTTCCAACCAACACAAAGGCAGAAAAGGAAGATGATGCACTATAGTCCTTTTCTGACCACCAATGCATTTAAAATATTATAAAATTAGTAATGGAAACAGAAACAAAGATTCTGGGACATCTTTTAAAAAGACACAAGTTGAAACTGCAGGGTAGAAAAATAAATGAGCACTCCATTTTTAAATTTAGCAGCAAGCTGCAAGTGCTCTTGTAATTAGCATTTTCTCAACAGTGAACACTCTGAATAAAGAAAGTACCGTATCTTAAATCCCTGTGCAGTACACACAACTTGTCATTTAAGTGAGCTGGCAGAGCAAAGCTGGACAAAATTCAGTTTAAGAATTTGAGTGTAGAAATCCCCTTCTCTTAACAACTGGACCAGATCTGAACTGCATAAAATATTCAGGTGCCTTTTAAAGTTATAATAGAATAAATACTCTATTATCATTGGTACATTCCTTTCTCAATCTAGGTATACAATAATTTAATATATTTAATATTTAGATAATCAATTTTTAGTAGATGCTTTGGCAGTCAACTTCTTACATATTCTCTATTTCTACAGAAGTATTTAGTTAGGTTTTCAAAAAAAAGTTATCAGGATGCTACATAGAAGAATCATGTGCTGTACAAACTAGCAGTCCAAACCATCACCGCAAATTGTAAAAGACAGTTAATAACAGAGTATAAAAATGAATGCATATTTCCTAGAAGACAGCAAACATTTACAGGAAAGAAGAAGATACATCTGCACAATTTTTTCTTTCTTACCAAAGAAGCCAGAGAGAGATTGTCAATTATCTGAAAAGTCTTTAACTTATTCCAGTTTATGCAACAACTGTGTTCCCTACCCCCCAACCATCAGTGTTACAAAGTTTTGGAACAGATTTGTTCCCTTGGCCAATGCTTGTTCATAACAATAAGAAAAGTAAAAAAGTTTTCAATCATTTTTTTAGCATGACTAAAAAGTTATGAACTGGTACATTTACAAAAAGCAGGCAATAGGTGTTTCCTCATTACAAAATTACTGTAATATTTTATTTGTAATGGGGGAGACAAAAAAGAAAAGAGAAAAACATTTAAGGACCTTCTGAGGGTTCACACTAAGAACTCTCTGGTTGGGCAACAGAGTGGAGCAATAAGAGTCCATAAGTACAGACAGACGCAAAACCAACAGGAGATCATCTTAACCCAGAAGATGGACCAGCTTCCGGTGAAGAATTTTTCCATCTGAGCGCTTTCGTAACTGTTAAGAAGATTAAAAAAACAAACAAACAAACAAACCACAATAAACTCATTACTCATACCTCAGACTCAATATCCTCTTTTTCCAAGTGGGTCACAGACTTCCACTAGGATAACCAAGACATGGAGCAGTGAAGAGCAGGCCTTTATAGAGCTTGCTCCAAAATCATCTAGGAAGACTTGCAACATCTCTTGCAGCTTCTTACTTAAGGAGAGGAGACACACTAACAGCAGAAGTTCCCGTTCACATCTCTCCTCTCAACACAGAGACCTTAATTTCTTGGCTTTAAATAAATATACTTACTGGAACCAATGAGTTACAGTCATCATCACATAGAGTGAAGCCAAGAAGAAAACGAAGTGGAAGTAGGCATAGCTGTACACTGTGCCTTTCTTCTCATCGTAAATCACAGTCTGGCCTACTCTTTTTTCAGTGTGCTCTTCAGCATCACCTGTAGGAGACAGAAAACAAGAAAGCTTTTTGCAAATTTAATGAGAACTGAAAACAGTAACTGGCTTCATGAAGAGCATAGCAAAACATCTTATGGTGTGAGTAGGAAAGCATGATACAGAGCAACATTTGAACACTTCCCTGCCCTCAGTGAGTGCACGTGTCTAAGCCTTTAGTAAAAGAAACTGGATCGCCACTGAAATTCTGCCTTGTATCAGCTTCACGGCCTACTGGTTAGTTTTTGAGCATTTGCACCATTTAAGATGCTCCACCTGTACAATATTCTTCTAGCAAGTCCAATTTGATAAACTCTGACTGTATGAAGTCTGCACATAGGACACTCCCTTCCTAACTCACTCCTGAATTGCAGTTCCCACAGAGCTGTTGAGCCAAAAATCCAGCAGCCAGTCACGCCCACGAGCATGCAAAGAGCATTACTCTTTGTATGTTGCAGTAATAAAATGTCTTTTACAGAATTATCAGCTAGTCTGTGTTCTAAAATGATACTGCTACATCTCTTGCTTCCTTCCCTAGACTAGCTTTGAGCACTTCAGCTGCTTCAGTTTGATATGCTACAGAACGAGGATACCAGCAGCTCTCCATGCAGACCTATGTCTTTACTCTCTTCGTTTAAGTATAAAAACCACAAGTGAAGTAAACTGTGAAGTGAAAATGTAATTACCGTCTCCGTCAGGCAAGCAGCAAAAGCAGCAACGAGCTACCTGTGGAACAGACATCAGGAAGGGTAAGAATCTGTACTACAGCAAAGAAGCAGAACAGTTGGTGAAGGAAGGTCTGTTGCATCTACGATACAGACACAGATTTAGAAAAGTCTGGTTTGTATTTCCAGCGGGCACAAAACTCAAATTAGTGTTTGCCAAGTAGTTTATAACAGCAGTTTCTAAGATTTGGAAAAATCTACTCAGTAAGATTTGGAGCCAATTAACCATTCTTCAGGAATGACTCTAAGAATTATCTTTTCTGCATAACTCAAGATCAAACACTGGTGCAAATAATTAGGACAAAGTGGTGGAAAAGCTACAGTAAAGTGGTTGCACATTAGTAGTTCAGAGGAGGCTTACCTCTCCAGACTTGCATCTAAGCACTTTTTAAAAAAAGAAATTCTCTACTGAAATGAGAGCATCCTGAACTTTTAAAACCCTGCTGTACGGGCTGGAAATCACAACTGCACAATCGTACATCAGAAATGTACTTATCTTTGCAAGATTTTTCTGAAATGTAGCCAAAATAAGTACAAGCAGGATGAGTTAAAGCAGAAAGATGGTTTTACTGCTTTATATAAACGAAGATTTTATTTTATTTTTAACTGATGGAAAAAGGAAAGCTAAAATTGACACTTCTTGTATTGAGAGGTAACGTAAATGGGAAAAGGGTGCTGATCTTCTAATAAATATGCACCAGACCACAGTACAAATCAGCACTTAATGTAATGCATCACCAACATTATTTGTTCTGATAAGATCCCTCTCTGGGATTTAACTTGACTGTGGTCTGACGAAGACAATGAACCCTGTTATGAAAACTACCTTCTTTAAATGTTGTATCAGTCAGTCTTCAAAGTATGAAAGTGTATTAACTTTTTGAACATATATTAGTTCGCAAGTATGCACTGCCATATAATGAGGCAGTGGAGTTTTACTGGATGACTTTTTTCATGCTTAAAGACACCCCAGCCCTGAAAATCACTTTGCTTTAGTGGAAACTTAGAGCTGTCCATGAAGGTTAAATGATACCCTAGGACAACCACGATAATGCCCTCCCAGCATCACAGATGAGTAACTACTGCAAGACCAACTCCAGGGACATCTGGATGAACAGACAAGTGGCAAGAACGCTGCAGAAGTAGAGTTACTTTTCAGAGTTTTACTATGACTAGTAATTGGCGGCGTGGGTGTTAGTGAATAGTCCAATCGTGCTATACTTGATGCTTGGAAGGACATCCTGTAAACTGCAGCTAGGTTGCCCCAGTTTGACTGGGACATTTCATGCGCATGAATAAATACTGACCCTTGTAATTCTACATTTTGCATTCTACTCTTTTTCCTTGGTCAGCACAGGCCATCTGCAAGTGTTCCTACCACCCCCAAAAATCAGATAGAAAGCCTTTTAAGGTTAAGTGTCCAACAGAAACATCAGATAGCTGTTTTTATCCTGCCTACCCATGATTATATATATTCACTGTGTTCACAAACTCAGGAAAAGCAAAAAAAACTAATTTCTTTTAAAAAAAGACTCGACAAGAGTTTCAACAAAACCCTTATTCCACACCTCTTTCTGCTGCTGTGCCAAGCCTCACCTACAGCGCCAGCTCTGTGGTGCCCTTGGACTGCATTCATGTTTTGAAGCAAATGCTAGGTTCCCTCAAAACTTTAAAACCAGTTCCATTTAAGTCCTTGTGCACATGGAGTGTGCTGGCACATACAAGCCCCTTGTAACACTTGTCTGTGTCCATCACGGACATCAACAGCCCCTCTGTACATGACATTGAACTGCAGAGCTGTGTTCAGGCTCTTGGCCAACAGACAAAGGCCCTTTGCCAAGGGGGAGGCAATCAGGGTGCAATTAGTTGCTCTTCACCAGTCGTTTCTTTATATTTATGATTAGTGCCTCTTGTACTGCTCTTCAAACCAAACGGTCTGGAAATAATCCTGTTGGCAAGCACCGTGTCCGACAAACCAGAGTGTCCCGGGGGGTGGGGGGGACACATGCAGCCTGGGTGCTGTGTTGGCTGTCCCCAACCCGCCTGCAGCCCTGAGCCCCTTGGGCAGGACGTCCTGTGGCGTAAGACTGGCAGGGCAAGGCAGGGGGCAGGAAGGGCAGTTGTTCTCTCTTGGCTGCCCCCGCCCTGGCCTGCCCCTCCTCAGCAGCGGTCCTGCCCGGATCATGGCCCAGGCCATGTCTCGATGCTCAACGCAGAGCTGCTGGCATGGAGACATCAGGTGTTCAACTGCTCAGCACTGACACCGGCACCATGTCCAGTTGCACCACACGGAAGCTCCTCCAGCACCGACACCATGCCACAGTGCAACACTTCCCCACGTCCCGCTGCCACAAACAAGTGCCTCAGCAGATAATTCTGCATTTTTGGATTCTCACAAACACTGATTAAGTTGAAACTGCAGATGCAAGTAACACCAATGTAGAGAGCACTAGGGACCAAGAATCGCACCCCAAACACAAAAACACATTTGGAGAGTTATACTAGCAAGCTTAAGTAACAGAAACTGCTACTTAGCAAAAACACACTCATTTCCCAGTGTTTCTGGGTGTTCCCAAGATAAGGTGGCAAATGAAACTGGCACGTGGAATGAAGAAACCTGTACTGCTGACACAGGGACAAACAATATAATGCAAGATGAAATTATAGGTAAAAAGAAAGGTTTTACTTAAGTGTGGGAATAAAAATAACAGACAGGAACTTTGGATGACAGGCAGATGAGCCAGACCATCCTGGGGAGCGGGTGGCCTCTGTGCTGTGCCAGCTGCCCCAACCAGGACTGAAAATGTTCAAAAATGCCTCTGCTATCTTTTTCTGATAGCTTCCCAGCCGACTTTTCCTTTAAATGAGAGGACAGGAGCTTGTGCAGGGCATATGAAGATTTACAGGAAGTCTGCAGAATGTTAAATAAACTGCAAGAGAAGCAAATCATTTCAGCACACAAAGACACCTCTATGGGACCAGCAAGAGCTGCAGAAGTGCCAGTGTGGACAAGTGTTCTAACAACTCCATATCAAGAGGCATGTAGCATGTTCACCTAATTATACAGATCACTTGGCCATGAAAACAACAGCAAGAAAAGCACATGAGGAAGCTTGCATGGAAATCCTGTGGGAGGAAGGAAGAACTCACTTCAGTTTCAGGTGCTGCATATATTCCCCTCAGCGCCTCTGAGCTTGCACGTGTTGTTGAGGTCAAACTAGGAGCAAAAGAAGATAGTGTCAAACCCACAGCATAAGCCCAACATGGTGGTTTTTTTCAACACCACGGCAAACATAAATAGCCTACTCCCAGGTCTAAGACAAGCATTTACCCGGATATAGCATCAAGCACCAAGCATGTCAAAAGTCTGTTCTGCACAAGTATAAACTAGCCTGACAGACAGCCACTGGCCAATTCAGGCTGAATCATGAACTTAAAAGTAGGTCACTCCTGAAAGGTGGTGAATTCATCACCATAAGACAGCAAAAAAAAGCTAAGTGGTCCAATTTGCAAGTCAGAAGAGATCTTCCCTGCTGTGTATAAGAAATGATTTTATATTAACTTCATAGCTACCATCTTGGCTCAGCATTTCTGTGAAGGCCTTGCCAGCTAAGTAACAGGTGAGCACTCACAATTAGTTTTCAAAGTTACCAACCACTATTGTCAGTGTAGCAGCTGCTGGAAATCACTTTCTTGCATGGTTATACTTGGGATGTGTGGGGCAGGAAAGTCCTTTCTCATTTCTTCTGCCTAGAAACACTTCTTGCCCAGTCTTTTCCTTTCAGGAAGTGTAATGCAAACTTCCCACTACCCACAGGGAGATGTATGTTAATGCTTCGCTGTGTACACTGAGCCCTAGCAATCAATACTTCAAAACATTCTTCTTGAAGGTCGCCTTATTTCCCCAGCCACATCGTGCACTTACCCTGCAGGCTATGTGAAATGCTGGAAATGCTGTTCTAATGTGAACTAGATCCATGATATATGACATACATATATTTGATATCAGAAGTAAATGAAACAAATATGCATATTTGATAGCAGAAAAGTAGCTGTACTACTTCTTCAGAAAGTCTTTTGTTTTCACTTCAGAATTAGGAAGGAGTTCCAGAATACACATTTTGAAGTGGACTGATTCTGAAGCAGAGCCTGCTGAAAAAGGCAGTGCTGTCTCCTGACAACCCACACAGCCAATACAAGTGATAAATCAGTTTTCAGTTATCAGCAACTAGCCCTCTCCCCATCCCAGAGTAAGCCTTAACTTATTGATGTGAGCTGCAATAACACAATGTCACATCACAACTGTGTGGGCACGAACTGACTTTTTTAGGGCAGGAGATTGCTGGCAAATCCTCATGGCAGTACTGTGCTCACTACTGGTTCAAAGAAGACCTAAACCCCTCCCAGACAGTTTTATTTGTTTTAAAGACCCTCAAGACACAGTCACAGCCCCTGCCAGTAGGCTACAGAAACTTCAGACAGCTCTTTTTCCATGGATGTAACTGCCAAGAGCTCTTTTTACAGAAAGATTAAGTACAAAATCAAAGTACCCTGTGCTTGTTTGGGATCATGGAGAGCTAGAACTCTTCCCCTCCACCTCTGGATGTAAATTGCTCTATTCAGCTTTAATAAGATATATTTGTTTCATCGGTTACATTATCTGGTGGAACAGTTTTGGTTAGAACTTCTAACCATTCTGAAACTGAGGAGAATATGAACCTTTCAGCCTAATTCTATTCTGCTTCTCCCCGCTACTTTGTCTGCATGAGGCCTGCTATAAGCCTTCACCAGTTGGACCACAACACTGCATTTACAGGGAGGTAAATGCAAATCCCCACACTTACCAAGAATATAAAATGCAGCCAAACAAAATGGTAGTACCCAGGCCAGTAACCAGGTTTTCATCTCTGTGCAGGCCTTGACTAAATTCAGGTACACAGATTGTGATGTTTTGATTGTTTTCATCCAGGACTTCACAAAACAAAACACAAAAAAAAGCAAACAAAAAAGTAAACAAAAAGAACTGTTAGCAAAGCTCATTTCACTGCATTTCAAGGTAGTCTTCAGACTGAAGGATTTCAGGGAAATATTTTTATTACTTAAGACACCGGGTAGGTACATTTTGGTACTGTTTCTACCCATCTTTTATGATGTTTCTATCCATCTTTTAAAAAGATCATACAGAAAAAAATCCATGAATCTAACCTGGCAGATTGTGTTTCAGACAAAATAAAAATGCAACTTAGTAGTGTACTAAAACTGCTTGTTTGATCAGAGCTGACAAAGAAGGAAAAAGACTGTTTGGTGAACTAAGAAGTTGGAATTCTATCAACGCTTCATCCAAGACTACAGAGACATCCATATAAGATTAAAATAGTACAGATTTGAGACTTCTTTGACAGTTGTGAAATTCAAACTCAGTGAAAAAAGGTGATGTATAGCTGCTCTGTTCTCAGACTGACATACAGAAGACTAAAGAAAAGGTGATCTTAACATATAAGCAAATACTACTTCAAGGTTCCAGGCAAGATTTTGTCTTAACATCAAAGTAAATACTTCTAGGTCCCTGAAATGAAATCAATTCAGTCCTTGGTGTTTCAAGATACATCTGGCTTTTTGGTGTATGCTTGGAGTCAAGGTAAGGCAGAATAGTAATTTGCAGCATCACTATGAAGCAAGAGATTACAGCTGCACCTTATCTCAAATCCCGAGCTTTCTGAGCCAACGCTCTTTAAGGCAAACTATGTTCTCACGTCCTCTTTCTTTCCTTTTTGCACCACATCCCTACTGGAACAGAACAACTGCTTGCAGGGACAGAGGGCAAAATGGAGAAAAGGCTACACCCGGGTTAAAAATAAACTTAAAGTCAGTCCCCTGACCTCATGGGGGAGGAATATGCATGGTCCTGCAGGCCTGTCCAGACAGTTCTATCAGCGCACAGCATGGACAGTGTGGAGGTGGGAGCAGAAGGGATGACAAACATTTATGGAGCACCTTGGCCAGAGATGTGCAGAATTCCCCCACCTGTGTCCATCAACAACACCTCTGCAGCAAGACAGGTCCACTGTTTGACAGGCCTTTTAGCTCAGTCTGGCACCGAAAAGCTTAGGCGCACTGTGATAAGCACAGGTTCGACAGACATGACTTCTTGTTTGCCCATTCCTTCTGAAGACAGTTGGGAGTTCCACTTTTGAGGAGTTACAAATAAATACTTGTAGCCTGCACTTTCTTCAGGCCTGGTTTGCAAGGTGGCTGACCTGCAAGGTGGCAAGTGTGACAGACTCTCCTTGAAGAATGACTCAACATTAGGTAAGTTCATTGTGAATGGGAGTCACAGGGCACAGGACATCTTAGTAAGTGCCAGCACCCCATACATTCTCCAGCACATGCCACTGTAAAAGCCGCACAGGCTGGTATGAGTCTTTATCACACAAGCAGGGGAGAAAAGAGTATCTCTGAAAGCAGAAGACACCATGAAAGTTCTCTGGCCTGAGAAGACAAGGAGAAATACCAGATTCAGAAGGTCAGAGTGTGCTTGATGCATATTCTGACAAATGCAATAACTACACTTGCAGTATGTACAAGAAAAATTGGAGCACTCAGCTGCTGAAGGCTTTGAATGTCACAGGCATGCAATAACACAGGGCCAATGATTTCACATCATGCACCACTTTCTTTCCCTTTTCTCCTCTTTTTTTTTTTCACAGTGTCAAGTCTTACAAGTAATTCAGACACCTCCTAAACTAACCTCTTAATTCAAAATCACTGCTTGAGCTCCAGAAGTAAATATTCCACCTAAATACTGTCTGGTTTTCCTTCTTAGCTCTAGCATACACTTGTGTGACGGAGATTCCTTCCCCCATCTCTCTCGTTTCTTTTTGGGAGGTGTTTGTAAAAATTTCTCCTTCTTATCCAGGGACTTACTTTCCTCTATTTATTGTTGTTTCAACTGTTCAACACTAAAAGTTGAACAATAATAAGTAAGGGTTTTAGCATTACTAATCTGAACTAGAAAAGTCTTCTTTAAGTGAAAAGAATGCTCCCTGTCCAAATAAATGAGTCTGATGGTCACCCAGGAGAAGGAAACAGTCTGAGTTGTGCTTTTAAAGTCTTGCTGGGTTTTTTTAGCATAAAGAACTTAAAACTCTAAGGAATTCCCTACTCCTGGCTTGCAGTGTCAATAGTCAGAACACAAGTAGAGTACAAGATCTCTGATGAACGACAGCATCCTCTCAGATGCAACGTAACTCCAAATCCTTTCTCAGTATGTTTCTTCTCTGTGTCAGGTTTGTGTGACCAGGTTTTGGTAGCAGAGGGACTGTAGGGGCGGCTTCTGCGAGAAGCTCCTAGAAGCTTCCCCTAAGTCTGACAGAGCCAATGCCAGCTGGCTCCACAGACAGACCGCCAAGGCTGAGCCTGTCAGTGATGGTGGTAGCCTCTGTGATAATATATTTAAGAAGCGAAAAGAACTACTGCACCACAACAATTTGCAGAGAGAGAGGGAGAGGAGTGAGAATATGTGTAGGCACCGAGGTCAGCAGAGAATCACAGAATCACAGAATGTTAGGGGTTGGAAGGGACCTCAAAAGATCATCTAGTCCAACTCCCTGCCAGAGCAGGATCACCTACAGTAGACTGCACAGGAATGTGTCCAGGTGGGTTCAGGAATGTGTCCAGGTGGGCTCTGAATGTCTCCAAGGAAGGAGACTCCACA